AAGTTGCCCAAGACCCAAGGCTGCCAGTCTCTGACTCCGGCTCCTCACTCCTTAGCTAACGGTCGGTCCCACGTGGGCTTGACTTGCAGGCTCTCCTCTCGGTGCGAGCAGTCAAGGTCGCTGAGGAACAGTTAAGGAGAAAATGCAGTTCGCCCAAAGGAAATAATTTGAAGCGACTTACAAGCCCACTACCTAAAGATCACTTGTTTTTTATCTTATATTTCTGTGACTACTAATACATTTGAATGTTTTTCTTTGTTTACTCGTCATTTAGATTTCTTTGGTGAATGGTCTGTTCTCATCCTTTGCATATTGTGTTACAGGACTTTTTTATAGTGTCTGATCCATCTGTTTGGGATCTTAATATATAGAGAGATTAACTCTTAGTCATATTTGTAGCAAATATTTTTTCCCCAGTATGTGGTTTGCTCTTAAAATTTTTAGAGAGTTTCTTGATCTATGTCTATTTTCCCCTTCAGAATTTCTTTACTGGCATTTATATTTAGAAAGTACTTCTTCCCAAAATCAGATATTTTCTTTTATTTCCTTTTTGATCTTTCTCTTTCTCTTTCTCTTTGCATTTACCTCTTTAAAACCTGAAAGTGAAAGTGAGAAACTAACCCAGTGTTTTTCCCAGTATTGAATACTTAACCGATTGTCCCAGCACCATTTTGTAACTCGGCCCTCCCCACCCCCGCCTCTGTGTCCCCCCAGGCGGTTGCCTGCTTCCAGCCAGGGTCCAGGAGAAACACCCTCAGACACACACCCTTGCACTCCCCTGGCAGCCGGCCCTTGCACAAAAGCACTAGCGAACAAGGTGTGATTTCTGTTGCGCAGAAGGTGAGGGGTGCACCCTGGAGACCTCAGCACAAACAACTTACAAATTCCCTCTGGGTATCTCTGTTCTCGGGAGCCTTTCCTGCCGCGCCCCCAGGGGGCCTGGCCTCCCGCCCACAGCCCAGCCGCCCCGACTGCTCGCCTCTGAGTCGGCCCTCATTTCCCAGGGACCCCCACCCCCTCGCCCCCGCTCCTGCGGAACCGCTGGGCTGCAGGCGCAGGGCCCAAACCCGGCTCTTCCCAAACAAAGGCCCCCAGGCTAACGGCATCCTCCTCAGTAGAAAGCTGGGCGGCACTGGCCTGTGTTACTTGAGAAAGCCTTTGGGGTCTCAGCCCCACCCTCTGGGGCTGATTAACCTGTTTCTTCCAAACAAACCCGGTGGATGTTCTAGGTGGAATTCTCACACCATCTGCTAATGACGCCCAGGTTGCTGTCTCAAGTGTCTTGAACGTGCAGGGAGTGACAGTTGGGGAAGGTGGAGAATCTGGGAACCCCCCGCCCCCCACCTTAGAGAGCTGATACCAAGGAGGCTGCCTGGGGAGCCCCAGAGCAGCCAGCCAAAGACTCAGGCCTCACTGGCAGGCAGGGCCCGCAGGGGCCACCCTTCTCCAGGCGGACGGGCCGTGCAGGACGTGCTCCCAAAGGCTCCAGGCCCACACTCCCAAGAGCTACCGTGGGAGGCTGGGGAGCGGCTGGATCCCAGTGGCCACCTGGAGCAGCTGGAATTGTGACCATGGTCGGCAGAGCCCGTCACAGCAGCTGTAGAACTCCAGTGGCAGCATCGGGGACTCAAGGGGGAGGAGGGCTGGTGCACCTCAAATGTGGGGGTGCTGGCTCCACAACATCGGTGTGCACAGTCAGGCAGTGGTCGAGAGTAAGGGGTTGCGGGCTGGGGCCAGAAGGCCTTGGCTCTCATCCCGGCTCTTCCCCTCTTGACTGAGCCACCGCTGTCTCATCCGTAATGGGGATAATGGCAGTACTCGCCACAGGTGTCGCTGAGGGACTAAGTACCACAGCGCCTGAACTGGCGTTAAGAGTGAAGACTCCCTAACTGGTGGTCGCCATTAGATGCTCTACCAGCTCCCTAGAATCCAAAGTCAAAGGGTCAGCAGGCCGAGGCCTCCTGATGGCTCTTGGTGGGGGAACCCGTCCCTTATTCTCCCAGTTTCTGGCGGCCTCCCGTGTCCTTGCCGTGCGTCCCTCTTCTCTGCCTCTGTCTCCACCAGGCGGTCCTCCAAGTCTGCCTGTGTCTTCTCCCTTTTCCCTCGCCCTCACCATGTCATTTGTACCCTTGAGATTTTATTTTATTTTGTGGAGATGAATGAGTCAATGTCACAGGAAGAATTTATTGCTTAGATTTCCAGAGATAAGGGGCACACGCTGCCACATGGGGCCACAGGAGAAGCATCAGGGTGGCCGGGAGGCAGAAGACTGGACGCGGGGAAGGCCTAGGCCAGAGCCGTCACTGGAGTTTCCGCAGGAAAGGCAACCGGCAGATTGCACAGGTCGGCTGGTTTGAATAATTCCAACAAACTTGGAGCTAAGGCAATGGTGTCTCATTGGCTGGTACCTGGCGCTGGGAGGGCTGAGGGCGAGGGCAATATTGGCCGGTGCGAGTTAGATATGAAGGCGGGCGGGGGCTCACCCTCGGATCGGCCTGTCTGCGCAGGAAAGGCGAGTTCCAGGCAGCTGATTTGCAGGAGAAAGGTAAATCCTTTGGCCAACAGTGTGGCCCTGCGGTGAATGGATGCCAAATAGACATAGAGAATCTAAACAAACAAACAAACAAACAAAAAATAACAGCAACAAAAAATGGTTAAAACATTTCTCCTCTCTTATTAAGACACTGGTCACTGGATTTAGGGCCCACCCTAATTCCAGACGATCTCAGGACCCTTAAATTTAATTATGTCTGCAAAGACCAGTCACACTCACAGGTTCCAGGGGTTGGGATATGGACATCTCTTTTGGGGGGCAAAGTTCAACCCAATGCGGACTCCAACCGGCTAAACTGGTTTGCAGTGCCCTGCGCACTGGCGTAGACCCCGGGGGAGAAATGACAACTTTTGCTCTCTTGGATGCTGAGCCCTGCCGTGCTCTGTCTGCAGAGGCGGCACTAGCTGGGTGCCCGTGCCAAGGAGGAGCCCGATGGAGGGTGTGGGAGGGACCCTGTGTGGGGATTTCTGGACCAGGGTGGACGGAAGTCTTGGGATGGAGAGGTCTAAAGCCCAGGCAGGAGGGAGGCGGCACAAGGGCAACGGCCCCAGTGACCAGGGCAGCCAGTGTGTCCGGGGGAGGTAGGATGGTCGGGCCCCAGGTTCTCTGGAACTCTTAGACTAGGGACGCTATTCCTTAAGCTGCCAGGTAACAAAGAGCCCTGGCTCACCTGGCTGAAACCATCTGGCAACAAATCTGCCATCGCAGGCAGTCCGGTGGCTGGGGCTGCAGGTGCCGTTGGCCCTGCTCTTCTGCGGTTCTCCTGGCTCCACCATCCTCTGCGGGGCTTTTCCCCAGGCCAGCTGCCCTTGCAGTCACAAGAGACCTAACGAGACGTGATTGTGTACACAAGCAGGGGAGGAGCCCATGTTCTTGGGTCTCCTAATGAGCAAGGAAACTTCCCAGGGGCCCTGGCAGACCTGACCTCGTTCCCAGGCCTGCGCGTGGTCCATTCACTGCCCCCAAAGTGGAACTGGGCACAGATGCCCTGTGTCGCTATGCCCCCTCCTGCTATGGGTGCTCCAAAGCACTGATTCCTATCGCCCACACACGAGTGCAGCAGAGGGTCTAGGGCTAACCCACCTCCAAGGCAGAAGGCACCAAATGCGCCAGGGAGCCTGGCCAAGGGGCCATTGCCCTGAGCACTCGCCCTGGTGTGGGCAAAGCTGATAGCCACGCATGGCAGCAACTACAGGAATACGACTCACGGGGCAGGGCATGGATTTCTGGTGAGTGAGGCCTGGGAAATGACTGGGGAGTCGCCACAGGCAGATGTCCCCTCCAAAGGAATCCTGAGCTTACTACTTGGGAGAAAGACCCTTGAAAAGGCAAATCACCCACGAGCCCCTGACCTCAGGCAGCCTGTCCAGAATAGAAGGCTCCTCAGCCAGCATCATCACACTGAGACTCCCCAACTCTTGCCTTCCTCAGGGGCGGGCAGGCCTTTGTCCTTTCCTGCCCTCCCAGCCCAGCCGAGTAGGGAGAAGATAGAGATTCCTTATCCTGAATCACAAGGGCTAATCCCTGTCTTACTCTGTTTGCGCTGCAGGTTTGGTGACTGGTTCGTAGACAGGTGTCTTCGCTCTGTAACCTCACCTGGAGGAGGGGCCAGAGGGCTCTGTGTGGTCTCTCTTGTGAGGGCACTAATCCCATTCACCAGGGCCTCACCCTCAATACCAAATCACCTCCCAAAGGTTCCACCTCCAAATGCTATTACAATGGAGACGGTTTCCAACATATGAATTTGGGGGGCAGGATAAAAACATTTATCTAGAGCCCCCACAGCCAAAGACGGTCAGGGCTAGGCCTGCCCAGGCCTTTAGCCTTCGCTTATTCCTACTCACCGCCGCAGGGAAACTGACTCTCTGCAGAAAGACTGGTGTGGACAGGGAGCTGCTGGGAGTGGTCAGTCCCTTATAACATTTATTAGGAAGTAACAGCCCTGGCTGGTGTGGCTCAATCAGTGGATTGAGTGCCGGCCTGCGAACCATAGGGTTGCTGGTTCAATTCCCAGTGAGGACACATGCCTGGGTTGTAGGCCAAGTCCCCACTAGGAGGAGGGAGTACACATTGATGTTTCTCTCCCTCACTTTCTCCCTCCCTTTCCCTCTAAAAATAAATTTGAAAAAATATTTTTAAAAAATTAACAGCCACATCCCATTCATTCTCTTTCATCATAGTCACAGCCCCCACGATTCCTTGTGGCACCTGCACACACACCTCCACCCTTTTCTCTCCTCACACCCCAGCAGGCTTGGCTACAAACAGTCCCAGGGGCTGAGCCTGCTAAAGCAGCCGTTCCAAAGGTTCAGGACCCTTGCTCTGCAGGTGCCTGTGACATCGCCAGATGCCCACAGCCCCCTGTGACCTCACAGCCTGGACCACTCCGCCCAGCGGGCCCATCGCTACTCCCTCAACCCGCCCACACAAGTAACAGGGGGCCTGGATGACCACCGTGCCCTCGGGAGAGGCCAGCACCCCCGCACATGGTGGCAGTAGGCCTTCAGAGAGCCCCGCAGTGGGGTCCCAGAGCCAGGTCTCCCTCCTTGCAGATGCCCCAGGGGCTGGTGCTGCAGCGTCAGCTGAACAGCAGGATGTAGATCTGGCCTCCGGCAAGCCAGCCACCTCCAAGCCCACGTCAGCCTCGGGGTACGAGGACAAGCTGAAAGATGAAGCTGCTGCCAGGCACAGGCCGGAGCCCCAGGAAGCCATGGGCTGGCTGACCTGCCCGGCCCCAGAAGCCCTGAAAATGTCCACGAGCCTCCCGAACTCAGTGTGGGACGAACTGGCACAAAATATGAAAACGACGCTGAGTCTTCAGATTTCCCGAAGTGACTCCCTGTCTAAGAAACAGACCCTACAAGCAGTGAGTGTCCTGGACAGGGAGAAAGACTTGGATCCACACACACCCAGTGCTAAGGTTCTGTTCCTCCAAGCTGTGCCCGCGGTGAGCACGGCCGACGCAGCCAGTCAGCCTGACACTTGGGCCACCGGCACCACTGAAGCCGCAGAGACACCAGAGGGTCCGGAGGCCTTGAGCCCTGACACGGAAGCTTCGCCACTAGCTGAGCCCCAGGTCGTGACAGAGGGGCGTTCGGTAGACCGCTCAGGAGAGCTGCAGGCTCAGCCGGTCGCTCCCTCCCCGGGAGGCAGTATCCCGACCTTGCCTGGGGCCCCCACGGTGGCCCTGGGGAGGGGGCCCCTGGACCCCAGCCTGTACATGGCTTGTGAGGAGAATGCTTACATGTGCTCCATGACCAGCTTGCTGGCCGGGGGCGAGGAGGCCATCAGCTCCCTGGCAGACATCCTGCTCTGGCCCGAGATGGCCATGGACATAGCCACGGGCATCCTGGTGTCCGGATCCAGCTCCATGACCTACCTGCTGCACAGCCCAGGGCCCAGGCTGCGCCCCCTCTCCAGCCTCCTGCGGAACGCCAGCTTGGCCTTCTCCTCTCGGCTGAGAGCGAGGGCAGGCTCGGTCCTGCGCTCTATCACCCACGTGCTGGAGAGGATAGAGCGGAGGACAGTAGAGGGCCTCTGTTCGGCTGCACGTTACCTGACCGGCCACCTCGCCCCATACCACTCCGGCCTCCGCTGTGACTAGACCCGACGCAGTGAGTCCCCAGAGGGCTGACGCGGCAGCCTCCCGGGCCCGGGGGCCCTCGTGCCCTGCTCCCCTGCCCACATCTGCCCTGGACGGTTCTCCCCAGACTAGGCAATAAATCACCAGCAGCGTTTATTTTCTAAGTGCCAGCCTTATCCCTTGTTCGTGGGGTGGGCATAGGGTGGAGGCACAGAAGAGAGGGCTAGGGTGTTCTGGAAACAGAAAGGTGTCCCCTGAGGGCTTCTCAGGTGGCCCTATTCAGGGGCTGACGCCAAAGTGCAGAAACAAAGAGCCTGGGCAGGGGCGGGGGCAGGGTGGAGGTCTCAGACCTGCAAAAATCGATCCTGGCTGGACCTCCAACCAGGTAAGTGCGTTTCCGAGGAAGTGAGCCCTGGCCCTTCTCCAGAGGCTCCAGGCCTGGCAGGCTCAGGCCGCCCTGCTGGGACTCTCGGACAGGGGGTACGGGCACGGAGCCAGGCCAGTGTGGGTCCAAACCCCGGTGCCACTGCTGGCCGTGGGCCAGTCGTTTCGCCCTCTGAACCTCCGACTCTCCTCTGTAGAATGGATAACAAAGCCACACCATGCAGGTGTTATGAGACAAAAGGGAAACCTTGCAGGTCCTAACACATGGAGTCTGGCACTTAATGAGCTCGCACATTTCAACTGCCACTTTTATTATCCCCCAACAGGCCAGGGACAAGGTGAGAACAAGGATGTAGACAGGGTGGCCAACCATTCCCGTCTGCCTGGGACAAAGGGGACTCCCGGCATGTGGGACTTTCAGATTCAGAACCAGCAAAACCCCAGGCAAACCAGGACAACTGGGTCAGCCTAGACCCAGGTCTCTTTACACGGTTTTTAGTCTTGTCTATGGCTCTGTCCACCTTGGAGAGGCAGGCTTCTGCTTTGGAAATCCACCACCTACCCTCCGACTGGATACAGTGTCATATCAGTTACATGGCTTGGCAAGTGGCATTCCCACTGGACCTCAGCCCCACTCCTGCCCTCGGCTGGGCGCCTGGAGCAGGTCACACCCCGTACCCCTTCCGGCCACGGCCCCCGCCACGGACTCGTCCATTCCTCACTTCCAGCAGCATCTCTAAATGGGGCCCTTGGTTGGCACCAGCGCACAGATAAATTTGTTTGCCCTATACGGCATCTCTCAAGTGGTGAATACGTTGCTAACATTTAAAAATCCAGAGAATTGGCCCTGGCCGGGTAGCTCAGCTTGTTGAAGGGTCGTCCCAATACCCCAAGGTCCGATCAGGGCACAGACAAGAACCAACCAATGAATGCACCATCAATAAGTGGAACAACAAATCAATATTTCTCTCTCTCCACCCCCTTTGTCTCCCTCTCTCTAAAAATCAATGGGTTTAGGTGTTTTTAAACCTAAAGAATTTATATAAGCATGTGGATTTCTGCTTGTCTTGAAAAACCTAGAGGCCTTGTTGCTTAAGAGCAACCGGGAGCTGAGCTGCCCGCTTTAAGAGACCTACCTGGTCTCAGCCACACACAGCTGTATCTGTGACTGATGCCACTGGCCCAGCCCCAGAGGCACACTTTGGCCACCCCCATCCCAAAGCTGCTGGCTCCTGTGAGGAAATCTGATATCAGGCCCCAGGGGGATGCAAAGATGAGCCAGGTGTGTCCACCCCTTTCCGGGAACAGCCGCCACTTTCTGTAGGTGAGTTGCGAACCATTCCCATGTACGATTGGGAGGAAGGAGATTGTGGATTCCCAAGCCTCGGAGAAGCCATTGAGACAGACCTAAGAAAAGGAGAGACGGGATCCCCTGGCAGAGGCCATAAGAATGAAAGCTGAGCCCCAGCTGCTGTGGCTCAGTGGATTGAGCGCCGGCCTGTTAACTGAAAGGTTGCTGGTTGGATTCCCAGTCAGGGCACGGGCCTGGGTAGCAGGTCGGGTCCCCGGTTGAGGGCATGCAAGAGGCAACGAATTGATGTTTCTCACATCAATGTTTTTCTCCCTCCCTTCTCTTTCTAAAATAAAATACATTTTTTAAAACTCTTATTTTAAAAAGATTTTATTTATTTATTTTTAGAGAGAGGGGAAGAGAGGGAGAAAGAGAAGGAGAGAAACATCCATGTGTGGTTGCCTTGCACATGCCCCCCAACTGGGGACCTGGCCTGCAATCCAGGCCTGTGCCCTGCTTGGGAATCGAACTGGCGACCCTTTGCTTCACAGTCTGGCGCTCAATCCATTGAGCCACACCATCCAGGGCTATACACTCTTTAAAAAAAGAAAAAGAATGAAAGCTGAGGCAGATGTGATGGGTGCTAGGTGGGGGAGAGGGTCCAGCAGCTCTACCTGGACCAAGCCCAGAGCAGAGAAGAGGCAATGAAGCTGCCAGGGGGGGGCCCAAGTGCTGTCAACAAATATTTTTTGAAGCAGGCGAGTGCCGCTGTGTCCCAACTGCTGCTCTGTTCGAACTTCAAAGGTGAACAAAAGATCGGAAGGGATGGTGACCAACCCTGAGCAGGTGAAGGTATTCCTGATGAGCACAACTGTCAAGTGTGGCTGGACCCAGGGCTCGGCCTTGTCCTCAGCGTCTGTCTTCCCCACTCTATCCCCGCATCTGTGTTGGCTCCATTCTCACGTGGCTCAGCCACCTTCCTGGAAAGATGGAGGACCTTGTTCCCACTGGCTCTGGCAGGGCGGGCCTCGGGGAGGGTGCCGGCCAGCCTGAACCAATCACTGAGGCCATAGGAATGGGAGGCCAGGTTACCTGGCCTGCGCCTCACGCCAGCCTCTGGGGCCAAGGTCAGCCCAGAATGGGGGATGCCCCCAGGAAGTGTGTTCAAGCTGGCAGAGCTGTAAAGGGCACGTCCTTGGGGTCCAGGCTGCCTTGAACCCTGGCTTTACCTCCTCCTAGCTGTATTACTTTTATCCCCCTGTGCCTCAGTTTCCTCACCTGTGAAGGGACGATAATAGCACCTCCTGCACTGGACCGCTGTGAGGATTAGGTGAGTTAACAAGTCAGGTAAGTGGCTAGCGCGTGGTCAAGCGCTGTGTATGCACGTGCGGTCATTGTGGCTCTTGGGGCAGGAGGCTTCTGCGCAGCCATGTGCCAACTACAGACTCTCCTGCCCGCCCCCAGCCTTCCTCTTTGCTGTGGGATAAGCAGTTGCGTTGGCAAGTCTTCCTGGCGACACATCTTCTGTGCAGGTGGGAGCCCCCCAGGAACACGGATGCCAGCGCACTGGGGAGAAGGTCGGGGCTGCACGCTCAGGGCTGAGGAGTCTGACATGGAGGGCGGTGGCTGCACCCCCGTTCTGGAAAAGGGGGCCTGGGCGAGAAAAGGCCGGAAAACGGGGTCTTGAGGGAAAGTCCCAGCCCCAGGCAAGAGGAAGTGGTCGGTAAGACATGGGAGCCGTCAGCAAGCAGGCATAGTCAGCGCATCGTGGGCACGTGGGCCGCCTTGGTGGGTGGGTGGAAACTGAACAAGAGGAGCAGTATTGGGGAGAGGCCGTGAGCAGGCACAGAGGAGGGTGTGGAAAACAGCGAGCAGTCAGAATAACAGGGTGGCTCTATGTGGGGTGCTCTTTGGTGTTGAGAACTGAGGCATGACAAAGTTACAGTCACCCCCACAAAGCTGGCACCTCCTCACTGCTTCTCCTTTATGTGCTAGGGTTACCGCCTGACAACCACCTGCATTTCTCTAGGAGAGACAACCATCTTTCTGGGTGTGTGTTCTGCCACTGAGAGACTGGCCAGTGAGCAGAGGATCTGCTTGAAGAATCATTTAGGCTGGGACAGCAGCCAGCAGGGCGGGTACAGCAGCCTAACATCTGAGCCCGGCAGGCACTTGGCTAAGGGAGGGGCACCGGCAAGTCCTGGCAGATGGAAGAAGGGCCACTGTGGTCTCCACCCCAGGGTGGGCCGCCCCCTTCAGTGAAAGACTTATTTCCCCAGCTGCCGTGAGTGCTCCTGGTGGACGGTCCCTTCGAAGACCCACCTGGCCCAAGGTCATGCCCCGCTGGGTGGCCAGATCCAGTGACTGGGTTATGCAGGGGTCTAAGACCCAAATGTCCTGGGCCAGGTTGGAGCAATTCCAGCTTCAGAGCGCCCAGGGCAGGAGGGGTGTGGTACAGGGGTGATGTGGGGTCTGCCTGGCAGGCTCCCCTCCCCCTCCACATGTTCCAGCTTTCTTCTGGCTCCGAGCCTGTGCTCAGGAAAAACCAACCTGTGACCAGAGACTGCTATTTCTCCCCATCTGCGATGTGTATGTTTGGGGAGTGGGACCCACCAATTCAAACAATGTTAAGAGTTCAAAGATTTTGTTTAAAAAGAATCTCTCTTCTTTTGTAAGAAAAGTTAGAAATTTGAGGCCACTTGGAATATGGTAAAAATAAAATAAATAAATCTTTGTCGGTGTTTTTACTTGTTTTATAAGGACAATATCCTTGTTTAGTCTATGGCCACTCGGCTAATTGGTTCAAGTCACCACATGAGTGCGGTCAAGTTCATAGCTTTGGCTGGTTGAGACACAGATTCTATCCAGGAAAGTGTCTCCTACAGAAAGCGATCATAGATAGGGCAGTCCCCCAGGGAACGTGATAAAGTGTAAAGGTAAACTAAGGTCTTCAGTACATATTTAAATATTTAAATGAAAACCTGGACGTCTGTGGGCTCTGAGGCAGCCCTATTTCTTAGGCCTCCTGGATCTTGAGCTGAGTCCCTAAGCTTGGGGAGCGCGCCCTCTGCTGGAGAGAAGGCCCCATGGGCATGCGCACCAGGAGGGCCCGCCCCACCTCACCCGCCAACCACCGGGACGCTTCAGGATTTGAGGTTTATCTTGTGAGAGAAGTGAGTTAAATAAAAACTGTTTTTTTTTACCTGTAACACTTCCAACACCAAAAGTGTGGGGTTTCCATCCCAAGCAATTCTTCAAATCTCTGTGGACACCACTTGGGTGTCCTATGAGTCAGTTCTGACACCACCTCGAGTAAGCGGAGACCCCACAGGCTAAGTTGCACAAG